AATATCATTATATCATTCAAATATTATTTTTAAAACAAACATAATACATAATTAACTAAATATAAAATTAAGACCTTAATACGATTTCACTGTCTCTCTAACTATAGCATATTTGGATAAGAAACAACTGTACGATCAAGCAGACAACAATACAAATGGCAGTCACAATGTACGAAAAACTGTGCATCAATTTCAAATTAACCATTGGTAGAGTATAGAGTAAATTGAGTTCTTTCTAACGACTATATACAATTGTTTGATATAGATCTCAAGGCAAAGTATGGGAGGTGGATGTGGTAACTATTAAGGGTTGGAAAATGTATCTGTTTCCCAGACAACCCAGCTTGTAGACTTTAGAACTCACGTGCCAATTAGGTCAAACATGCATATTTAACATGTAGAAACTCCTGTACTTTGCCAGCTTATGTGGCTAAGAGAGAAATGGTGCTAAAGCCGTCATTTATCAAAGCGCGTGGATCACGTGACACGAAAACTGTCATTTAAGTATTTTTAAAAGGTTTCCATTGAAAGAAAGTAATTAAAACCTAGATAAAATAAAAATTCAACTTATAATATACATTATCATGTTAATTTCATTTTCATTTTTTGAAAGTAAAGTGGCTTAATTAAATTTTGATTGTAATGCAGTACCATACACAGAAAGAAATTTAAAAATGGCGCTAGGGGCAATAGGGTTAAAGCAACGAGAAAAATTCAGAAGGTTTAAGTAACATGACATCAATTTACAGCAACTGAACAACACAACAAATGATTCATAAACAGTTATGTAAGCAAACTTCTCATAACTATCACTTATAAAAATAATTTACTTTAATGTAAGCACTATAGAAACTAGATAATACTCTCGTATTGAATTTAAATAAAACAGTTGTGTATATCTAAGAATAAGCCCTTTTCAAGAAAAATATTTACTGTTCTCAGTTCAAAGTCTACTACTACACTCTGCACCAACACTCAATGGCTTCAATGCAGAACTGATAGTTCTGGAGCTACAATGCCCACCTCATGACTTTTGCACTGTTGATCTTATACCTGTGGATGTATTCAAGGGGCTGATGGCCCATCTGGATAATGAACTCCTTCCCATAAAGTAGTATATATAAGGATGGTTCTGGACCACCACCCTCCTAGCGGGACCCACCAAGGAGGGTGAGGCGGGTACCAGAGGCCCCTCAAGAAACACCCTCCAACTTAATGTTACCCTCCACAAAGCCCACTAGGCGTAACAAGAAAAGTTGACACACCTATCAAGGCCCACAAGTGGTCTATACAACTAAGACTGCCTCCAGTCCCAACATGGTTCCCAGTGCCTTTTCCCAGAACTAGCTGATAGATTACGACATGCATCTCTTCATCAAGAAAGGGCTCTTTGATGAGATTTCGATGGTGGCAAAGTGATACTCTAAGCCAACAAACCCCGAGTAAACAGATATGACCACTCAAAACTCAACAGCCATATACTCTACCTTGATGCCACCAATCTCTATTGCTGTGCCTTGAGCCAGACTTTCCCAAGAGGTTATTTTGAGTGTGTAGAAGTTATGGAGGGGAAGATTGCATCTCACCTGGCAGACACCAGAATAGGTTACATCCTTGAAGTGGATCTGGAGTACCAACAAGAGCTACATGTTGCACACAATGCATATCCACTAGCATCAGAGTGAGTGAAGGTCCTGAAGGAGTGTATGTCAAAATACCAGAATGGACATCGAGGCGTAGGGGTACACCAACCAAAGTAAAAAATCTAGTACCCAATCTCAGTGACAAGGAGAAGTATGTTCTCCCCTACAGAAACCTCCAGCTCTACATGTCCCTTGGGATGCACCTGGCAAAGATTCACAGAGCTATGTAGTTCGAGCAGAGCCCTTAGATGGAGCCCTACACATTTGGAGTTCTGCAAATAGGTCATATCGGACTTCTAGAAAGAACTATACAAGCTCATGGAGAACATCCAAAAGCCCATCAACGTCAAGCTTGTGTGCACAATCGAGGAAGAGAAGCTGTGGTGCCTGATCACTAGCTCCATGTATACGTGGTAGAAGATATTTGACGACAGTCTTCCCGCCCTACACATGCACAAGATCTGACTGGTGCAAAACTGCCCAGTTTATCTGATGTATGACTTCTACTACAACCAACTCAAGAAGGAGTACAGGCTGCTCCTCCAGATCCAGATGGAGGATGTGTACAGGAACATGACCAAAAACACAAGGTTCTATGACACGAGTGACTACCCAAAAGAACATTCACTGCACAACACTGCAAACAAGAAGGTGCTGGGGAAGATGAAGGATGCGTGTGTGGGGGTCCTGATCACTGAGTATGTCGGCCTGTGCCCGAAAATGTACAGCATTCTGTGTGTGGATGAATAGGAGCTGCACAAGTCCAAGGAGGTAAAGAAGTGGGTTGTTAAGAAACACCTCCACCACGCACAGTACAAAGGGATCACCACCAGCTCGTCATGCTCAAACCCACGAGTCGGACCAACACCATCAAGATAATACAGGACAAGTTTTCTGGGCTTTTTGACAGAGCATTCAACG